GACACGCTGCATCTCTCTCTCGCTCAGACACGCTGCACCTCTCTCTCGCTCAGACACGGCTGCATTCTCTCTCTCGCTCAGACACGCTGCCATCTCTCTCTCGCTCAGACACGCTGCACCTCTCTCTCGCTCAGACACGCTGCACCTCTCTCTCGCTCAGACACGCTGCACCACTCTCTCTCTGCTCAGACACGCTGCCACCTCTCTCTCGCTCAGACCCGCTGCATCCTCTCTCTCGCTCAGACACGCTTGCACCTCTCTCTCGCTCAGACACGCTGCACCTCTCTCTCGCTCAGACACGCTGCCACCTCTCTCTCGCTCAGACACGCTGCACCTCTCTCTCGCTCAGACACGCTTGCACCTCTCTCTCGCTCAGACACGTCTGCCACCTCTCTCTCGCTCAGACACGCTGCATCTCTCTCTCGCTCAGACACGCTGCACCTCTCTCTCGCTCAGACACGCTGCACCTCTCTCTCGCTCAGACACGCTGCATCTCTCTCGCTCAGACACGCTGCATCTCTCTCGCTCAGACACGCTGCACCTCTCTCTCGCTCAGACACGCTGCATCTCTCTCGCTCAGACACGCTGCACCTCTCTCTCGCTCAGACACGCTGCACCCTCTCTCTCGCTCAGACAAGCTGCATCTCTCTCTCGCTCAGACACGCTGCACCTCTCTCTCGCCTCAGACACGCTGCACCTCTCTCTCGCTCAGACACGCTGCACCTCTCTCTCGCTCAGACACGCTGCACCTCTCTCTCGCTCAGACATGCTGCATCTCTCTCTCGCTCAGACACGCTGCATCTCTCTCTCGCTCAGACATGCTGCATCTCTCTCTCGCTCAGACACGCTGCACCTCTCTCTCGCTCAGACACGCTGCATCTCTCTCTCGCTCAGACACGCTGCACCTCTCTCTCGCTCAGACACGCTGCATCTCTCTCTCGCTCAGACACGCTGCATCTCTCTCTCGCTCAGACACGCTGCACCTCTCTCTCGCTCAGACACGCTGCACCTCTCTCTCGCTCAGACACGCTGCCATCTCTCTCTCGCTCAGACACACTGCACCTCTCTCTCGCTCAGACACGCTGCATCTCCTCTCGCTCAGACACGCTGCACCTCTCTCTCGCTCAGACACGCTGCACCTCTCTCTCGCTCAGACATGCTGCATCTCTCTCGCTCAGACACGCTGCATCTCTCTCTCGCTCAGACACGCTGCACCTCTCTCTCGCTCAGACACGCTGCACCTCTCTCTCGCTCAGACACGCTGCACCTCTCTCTCGCTCACAGACATGCTGCAGCGCTGTGCAGTGTGCGCACAGTTCTGCCGGTAATGAATATTACATTTTGTGAGGAAACTTTTCCACCAATAATTCCAATAAGTATTCCAAAATGTATTCACTTCAGGTTTACGGAAGTAACTGAAATCAGATTACTCGTTTTTCAAATGTAACGCCAGCTGAATAGTTAGCCGAAGAATGCAGGAAACTAGTTAGCTTGCAAGCAGAGGTCTAAATAAAAGTGATAACTAAATGTTTGAAATGCTCAGCCTGTGCTCAACTTGCTGTTGCTCTAAGAGGAGACATCTGGTTTTGGCAGGATGTGTTCAGGGCTCACAGCAGGTGGTCTGACATCTCAGTTTGACTCCAGATGAAGCGTCACCTATGCTGAGCAGTCAGTCACACACAGGAATAACACATTTCTCCCTCCTGATAATGTAACATTTTTATTTATTCAACGATGAATACAAATGTGGACATATTCAAACATTTTTATAGTTATAAATATTAAAAATATGTCTATTTATAGCGGGTACCAGCTCCAAAAATAGAGCCCTAAATTCACATGCAAATTGAGTCTCTGCTAGTCAGTTGGAAGACTCAGAAAACCTGTTAAAAAGGCTTTAAAGGGCCTTTTAGCGCACATAATAGCTGTGGCATCTTCTTGTCTTCGTATTCACAGAACGGTTTCTTTAACCCTTTGTCCTACATCTGTTGTGCTTTCAACTCCCTTACCTTTTACTGGTATGCAGTCAGTTGAAACCTTGTAAATCCAGCTATTAACTTGTCATGCTGTTGAAGGATGACACATTGGAATAATTAACTTTTAGTAGACTTTTGCCACTATTTTGTAGCGCACAATATTCAAAGGATTCAAAGGCTTTATTGTCAGCACAATATTCTAACATTTCCTTATTTGGAATGCAAACAAATCATTATGACATCATCTTTACATATCCCTTAAGGGCATGGTAACTTCTGAATAATTTCTTACTGAGTATGGATGAATAAGATATTACCGGTATTACACTGGATTTATTAGATTTGAAACAGTGCCTGGAGGATGATTTGTCTATCATGTTGTTTTCTAAGCAGTCAGCATTTTATTTACTCCCTGAACAGATATCAAGACTTGACTGTAAGGACGTATTGGAGATCACATGTACTTTGGAGTCTGAGGGGGAGGAGAACCACGCCTTCATCTTGTGCACAACTTTCCTGACACAGCAGCTTCTGCAGCGGAACCTGTACTGTTCCTGGTGAGTGCTTCCTGTCTGGAGCCAAGATGTTGGGTTGACTGCATGTATTGTACATTTTGACTCCCTGATAAGATGAGTTGTTTCTCTTTATTGTTGTGGACATCACAGTTTGTCAAATTTGAATATCTTTGAGAAAAAGAAATATAACTTAGATTTATTGTGTTTTTTTTTTTATCCAAAGGGAGTTGACTCTGTTGTAGAGTAAGCTTCAGAGGAGGATTGACCCCTCGTTGATGTCCCTTGTGGAACGATGCCTTCAGCTAGGTGCCATTGCCAAAACGGTCCTGCATTTGCTTTGCCTCGTCCGTATCATTCAGACAGAGGTGAGCCCAATAGGCTGCTTTCCATTTCTATGCTGGGTTTTAGCTGGTCCATTTGGTTGTAAAAATATCCTGTTGGACATTTTCACACATGAGTAAACCCCAATAGACTCTCAGATGTTTTATAAAATAGACGAGTTAAAGAGAGGTCTTAAAACATCCATCCTTCAAAAGAGTAGTCAGGAGGTGGAAACTGCAGTAAACTTAACAAAAATGTAGTACCACTATTTATGTATTACTTAAAATAGCAATTTTATTTTCAATGACATTTTACTGTCAGAATGTAATGCATGTCAATCAATCAATATTTATTTATATAGCCCAATATCACAAATGTTACATTTGTCTCAGTTTGTACAGAATATCAGTATGACAATACGACACCCCCTGTCCTTGGACCCTCACATCGTACAAGGAAAAACTTCCGGAGAAAACCCACAGTTTAAAGGGAAAAATGGGAGAAACCTCAGGGAAACCTCAAAGACCGCACCTACAGGGTTACTTGGGGAGGGTCCGAGTCCGACCCTTGTCAATTAACTACAGGGGTCCCTCAGGGCTCTGTTCTTGGTCCCCTCCTCTTCTCCTTGTACACAAACTCGCTCGGATGAGTCATTAGCCCGCATGATTTTTCATACCACTGCTACGCTGACGACACCCAATTAATTCTGTCCTTTCCCCGCTCAGAGACCCAGGTCGTCGCACGCATCTCTGCTTGTCTAGCTGACATCTCTCAGTGGATGTCTGATCATCACCTCAAGCTCAACCTTGACAAGACTGAGCTGCTCTTCCTTCCGGGAAAAGATTGTCCCACTCTTGACCTAACAATCAACATTGGCACCTCTGTTGTTTCCCCGACTCAGACTGCAAGGAATCTGGGTGTGACCCTAGATAACAACCTGTCCTTCACTGCAAACATTGCTGCTACAACCCGCTGCTGCAGATACACACTTTACAACATCAGGAGGATGCGTCCCCAACTGACCCAGAAAGCAACGCAGGTTCTGGTCCAGGCTCTCATCATCTCACACCTAGACTACTGCAACTCCCTCCTGGCTGGTCTACCTGCATGTGCCATCCGACCTCTGCAGCTCATCCAGAATGCAGCGGCTCGTCTGGTCTTCAACCTTCCTAAATTCTCCCACACCACTCCGCTCCTCCGCTCCCTTCACTGGCTTCCGGTAACTGCTAGAATCCACTTCAAGACAATGGTACTTGCGTACCATGCTGCGAATGGATCTGGCCCTTCCTACATCTAGGACATGGTTAAACCGTACACCCCAGCACGTGCACTCCGCTCTGCATCAACCAATCGGCTCGCTGCACCCTCGCTGCGAAGGGGACCCAAGTTCCCATCAGCAAAAACACGTGGGTTTACTATCCTGGCTCCAAAATGGTGGAATGAGCTCCCCATTGACATCAGGAGAGCAGAAAGCTTACACACCTTCCGGCGCAGACTGAAAACTCATCTCTTTCGACTCCACTTCGAGCGATAGAACTATTAACAAAGCACTTATATACTAATAAAGGGCTGGCTTACCTAAAGCCAGTTGAGTAGCACTTGAAATGTTTTTGCTCTATGAAGCCTGATGTACTTATATGATTCTGTTTTCTTCAAGTTTGTATTTTGTTGGTCTAACGCACTTATTGTAAGTCGCTTTGGATAAAAGCGTCAGCTAAATGTAATGTAATGGAGAGCATCAGAGGAGGGATCCCTCTCCCAGGACGGACGTGCAATAGATGCCGTGTGTAAATCGAGGAGATAATACATTTACAGCGTAGGTAGACCAAATGTTTGGAAATGCATGTGTCTATAATAAGAAGATGAATCCACAAGGATGTCAGCAATCCGGTGGGAGCCATCAGGGAAGTAGTATGATGAGAGTCAGGCAGGACCGCAGAGACAGGTTCAGCCACGACTCGAAGTCCAGGACTCAAATCCAGAACTCAGGATAGAGGACACAGGACTCACGACCACAGCAACAGGATTAGCCTCGACTCAGGAACGCGGCGTGGATAGACACCAAAAATAAATTTGAGGGAAGCTGGGTTATTCGGAACATGAGAGTACACAGGTACAGACAAAAGGAAGAAGTAAGGTGTCCCCCGACAGTCTAAGCCTATAGCAGCTAAACTAACGTGTACTATACATGCACTCCCTTAGGATAGGTTGGGGATAAGGGGTAGCAAGTAAGAAGTAAGGAACAGAGGTGGATAGGCACAACGTGTCTACGTACATGCACTCCCTTACGGCCCGTCCACACAGCGGCGTGCGTTGAAGCTTCCAACGCTTCTGCCCATTCACTTTGAATGGGGTGACGTCACTTTTAGCCGAACTGCATTTTGGGAAGCGACGTGGAGCGTTGCTGGCTTCAAAAGTTGAGCAACGTGTCCTGCCTTCTTCCAGGAGACCTTGAAGTGTTGCGTGCCAGCCTTCTCACAGAATTCATTCTTTGCCCAAGCCCGGAGGTCTTTGGGTCCTTGAAGGAGCTTTACTTGCGCCCCGACAAAAAATGACCAGGAAAACGAGGTAATTCCCAACTCACTACGCTGCGAGTTGCTATTAACTCTGAAGGCATACTGGCCGTTTGATCCTGAATTCTGGGACTGGAAAACTCTAAAATATCACTGCATCTCCCTTCTGGGGTTGAGGCCGGAGTCAGAGGGGGAAGAGGAGGAGGCAACAGACAATCGAGAGAAAAGTACACAACCTGAGTCTCAGGGAGTCGCAGTGAAAGTAGAATCTGAGCATCAAAAGATGATTAATGGAAGTGTTGATGGTGATAATGAGCAGAAGGATGACAAGCAGGTTTCTAACTCACCAGAAATCGAAGGAGAATCGGAGTCAAAGAAACACAAGTTCTGTTGTAAGATTTGGAAGAGGTCGGTCAGTGACACCCAAATCATTCACCACTCCAAGAGGCACGGAGAGGGCAACAAACACCCCTGCCCCGTGTGCTTGGAAAAGTTTAAGAGCAGAAAGGTTCTTGTTCCTCACCTAAAACAACACGTGCAGAGTAAAACTAATCTCAACATAAAGAAAGAAGATGAGCAGAACTGGGGGATGAAGAGGATGATGTTATTGAACCAGGGGAGATCACGGTTGACCCTTCCCTAATGCAGTACTTCAAATCCACACATGATCCAGAGGTGCTGCAACACATCGTGCAACAAGCCAAAACGGTGAAAGAGAAGAATTTAGATGAGGAAGAGTATGTAACGTTTGAGTACATTGACCAACACTTCAACCTGCAGAATCGGGACGAGTATCCATGTCCAGGAACCGGCTGCACTCGGATTTTTAAACATTGCAAGTACTTGTATGTTCATTTAAAGTCAGAGCACAGAGGTGATGACAATGTAAAACATTTTCAGCAGATGCGAGACAAGCGTGAGAAGTGTGTTTTTTGCAGACGCCATTTATCCTCCGCACACCATCACCGCAAACATCGAAGAGTCCACTATGGAGATCGGCCTTACATGTGTGTGGCTATGGATTGTGGTGCTAAATGTAAGACTTCCATCGAGCTTATCACGCACAAACAGACCCACGGCTTCCACCTCAACTACCAGTGTGAGTACAAAGGCTGCTATGTCATCTGCTCCGACTTGGGACAAATCTACCACCATGAAGCACAGCATTTCAGAGATGCAGCCTTTACATGCCCAAGCGCTGACTGTAGTAAATACTATCTATCCAAAAAAGAATTCATAAACCATTTATCCACACACAACATCACCTTCTCTGAAAAAGACTTTGAGGGCCAGAGGAAGGCGAGGCGGAAACTTCTTAAGACGCTTACTACTGAAGTGTCAAACCGCCTTAATAAGTCAAGTGATGCAGCAGAGACTGAAAATGGAGATGTCCTAAACTCTTCCTCAACAAGTTGTGCCTCCTCTTTGCAATCACCTGATGGTAAGGATCCCAAAACAGCAATGACCCTGGTGGCTGTGTGTTTTGATGGAAGCAAGTTTACTTGTGGTTTTGAGAAATGTGGCATGACTTTCTCCAGAGCCAGAGATGTCCAGAGGCATCTTAAGTGTGCCCACTCAGAACACCTCAAACTGGAGAACAAAGAACACAAACATGACAAAGACAGGGGCTCAAAGTCCAAAGGGATGAAGACTGAAACTGAGCCTGACTGTGAGGAAGTGGGAAAAGAGGAGCTCTTAACTCCATTTCAACCCATGAAGGCAGACGAAGAAAGAAAAGAAGATACTGAACCCCAAATCAACGAAACAAACTCTCCAAGCTTTCAAACTAAAAATGATGATCTGAGTGAAGTCCTTATTGGGCTCAGTAAACTGAACCTGAATTCATTATCTCCTCAGTGTGCCAATTGAGCCCCCTGAATCCAACCTAGAGTCAAAAGAATCCAACACATCTCTCCATCAGGCCATCATGGCAAAGCCTCCTGTTGTGCTGCTTCGGAAGAGGGCCCTACAAGTGCCAGATGAAAAGGTAGATGTCAAAACTGAAAAAGTATCAGATGATGTTAAAGAAGGTGACGCCGAATCATTGGCCTGTGCTAAGCCTGTAACTCCGAGCGGTCCTGAAGTCACAACCTTTCATCTCACAGACGTAGGTCTGTGAGATGAAAGGTTGTGACTTCAGGACCGCTCGGAGTTACAGCTTAAAGCGACACTATCACAACTTACATGACCGCACTGTTGAACAGGCAAGAAGGTTGACTTCTCTGAAAACAACATCGTTTAAACCTTACATCTGCCAGCTTTGCTCCCAAAGTCACAGAGAAAAACGCGGGTTGAGGTTCCACTATATTCAGATGCACAACCTGAATCCCACTTTGCTCAACAAAATAAGCTACATACGGCACGAGGGGGAAAAAAACACTTCAACGCGTGCATCTCTCAACCTGAAGAAGCATGGTCTTAACGTATGGAAAAAAGAGATCCCCAAGCTGCAACGCCAACCTGAGAAAAAAAACTCAACGGTGGTAAGCGAAAATAAACTAAACATTGGCAATCACTCACCATCTGAAGAGGGAGGAGAGGGTAAAGCTGAGAGTAAAGAGGAAGACAAAGCACAGAAGGGAGAAAGAGGGGACAGGACAACACTAGTGCTGGGGGGAAACGATTATTTTGAAAACGATTAATCGGGCGATTATTTTATCGATTAGTCGACTAATCTAACGATTATTTTTCTGCTGTTCGATTCATAAAAAACGTAATGTATCTCAAATAAATACCAAAACATTCTTAATAATAGTTTTTTTTGTTCAATGAGCGCCCCAAAAAACAACACAGCCGTTAGCTCGTAGCACTCAGAGCTCACAGCTCTTCATATCTGTTCAGAAACTAGACAAAAGTTAAACAAGTACAAACCACAGACTGCCTGTGTCATGGCTAGGGATGGGTATCGTTTTAAATGTATCGATTCCGATTTCGATTCCGGTTCTGCTTATCGATTCCGGTTCTTATCGATTCCCCGTTTCGATTCCAAAATTGTAAAATAAAGAGGTCAAACGTTTAGATAACAAAAATATATTTATTCTTAAAAGCTTTAACTGAAATTGTTACTAAAAAATATACATGCAATACAAATGTATTGCACAATAGCTGTGCTTTATTTTAACTGAGCTATGCCTGTGGCAAGCTATTAACAGGCATTACACTTTGCCTTTTCTTTTTCTTTTTTAGTGTAGTGGAGCCTCACTTCAGAGTGTTTACCGCGACCTATCTTTGGTGTTATGAAGTGACTGAGCTCGTGAAATGTCTACGGGAGGGCGGGGGAGCATCGCTGCAGGGCAACTGTGGACCTCTGTCGCCTGTCAGCGCAATTTATATGATGCCGTTTAAAAAAATGAAGGGCGGTGCCGGCCGTCAGCGTACCGAGCCGGCCGTCAACGGCCCGCTGACGACCGGCCGTTCTGTGATTCTCCAGGTCCGCCCTGTATTCCACCGGGTCACCGCAGCACCGCGGTGCAGACGGACCCGCTGGAATACAGGGTCTACCGCGTTTAGGAACCGTTAAGCAGAACCGAAATTGTGTATTTGTATGGGTACCCGGTACCCGGCATTTTCTTATCGGTTCTCATCTGGAACCGAGTTTCGGTTCCCAACCCTAGTCATGGCGAATACAGTCGCTGGTTTGTTTATGTCTGTATAGGCCGTTGTTGTGAGTATGGACGGTCGGAGCATATATAACGTTAGCTTAGCCAAGCTACATTTAGAAAACACGCATTTTAAAAAGGGTTTTTTTTGGGTCTGCAGACTTGTCAAAGCATTAATTCATGGTTTTTACTAACCGGTATCAGTATGTTGTTACTTCGGCATCATTTTTGAAACGTGTATTACAATTAAATCACGGTCAAATATGTTCATCTTGTTGTAGTTGTAGCCGCCTTGCCAGCGATTCTCTCTCTAGTTTAGCATACTCAGCCCGACTCAGCCTAGTTGTTCCTGGCCCTAGAAACACGATTTAGTCGGGCCAGAAAAAAGGTGAAAAAGTAGCCCCGGGCCAAAACTAGGCCAAGTGGAAGCGCAACCAAAAACGGGCCCGCACGGCTCGGCACGCTTAAAGCGAGCTACCCGCTGCAGTGGAAACGCGCCATAAGCTGACTAACATTAGTCTAATGTTATGTTTGACTCGTAAAGGACCACAACATGAGTTAGCTCTCTGTGCAGTTAGTTCGTTCCGGGTTAGTAGCGGCTAGATAGCGGTGTACTGCAGACATAAACTAGCTACCATTCCAGCCAACATTAAATGCTGACAAACGTTAACTAACACACAGCTGGCGCCGCTAGCTAGGTAGTTAACATTAACTACTAACCAACCAAGCACGAACAAACCGCACGGAGAGCTATAAGATAGTTAGCACTACCGAAGTGCATAGAACTCAAGCTGCACAACACACTACACAAACGTGGAATTCATTTAGCCAAAGTTAGTACTTACTTATCATTGTTCCCTTCACGGGAGACAAGGGGGTGCCTCCGCTTTAAATGCTCCAACATAGCTAGTGTGGTATGCCAACTCCATTTGGCAAAGACTGCAAATAACAATGCCTTTGCGTTTTGGACAACATTTAAAGTATTCCCATGCTTTTGAAGACCTAGGGCGAGATGTTTTTGTTTGGGGGCTTCGTGCGCAATCCTGTGAGGAGGAGGTGGTAGCCGTTTCAGTCTCCATTGTGTTTGAAGTGCGATTGCGAACTGCTTGTTGCTTTGGGTGACCCACGTGTGTGTGGCGATGCGTCGACGAGGAAATCTGTCGTCGACGAGATTTTGAAGTCGACGCGTCGCAACAGCACTAGACAACACAACAGGTCAGGACTTCAAGATGATTGGTAACCAAAGGTAATCTCTGCTATATGCTGGATAAATTCAGTAAACCCTTTCATTGTGTAGCAAAACATTGTGATGCTGCTTTTTCCACCCAGGGGGGCCTCGTGCGCCACCTACAGTTGATACATCATTACAATCGCTCTCAACTCCTTTTGGAAAAAGATTTCGAGACGCATCACAGATCAGAAGCCAGAAAAGAGCCCACCAAGAAAAGGCCTCATCCAAACTTAGATGAACCTCAGCCCCAATACAAGTGTAACTTTGCCAACTGTCATTCTTCCTACCACCTTAAAAGCAGCCTAGTGCGTCACACTCGGGATTCTCACTCACAACCTTCAGTTGAGACTCGAGACTTTACATCTGTCCAAAACTTGAAGTCCATCTTGGACAAAGCCTTGGCGGGGTGTGGGGACCTGGCTATTAAGCAGCTCCAGAATCTGAGACCTGTGGTGGTGCTGGAGAGGCCGGTGTGCAGCAAACAGGATCCTGGCGTAGGTTCCTGCTGTGTCCAGGTGCTGGAGGAGGAAGTGAAGTGATAACTATTAGTAAACCATAATGATGGATGTTATCATCAGCAGCTGCCAATAGATCCCCTACATCTTGTATGATGGACCTTTGAAGCAGGGTTACACAAAACACACAAAATTGTAAAACAGTTATTGAGAGCATCCCAAGGGCATTGATCCTATGCTAAACCTTCCAGAACACCAACTTTCTAATACCTTAGAAACGACAACTAGCCGTTGGTACGAATGTAATGCTTCAGCTTCCTACAACTTTAAAGCTGTGTGGACGTGGCTCTATGAAGAGTCGTTCATATTTTCTCATTATTTCATAAGTTTAGAAGGGGTAACAACAGTTACCTTTTGTTAATTTTACCTCGAGCCAAACTTGTTTCTGAAATCCCTTTCTCTTAAAGTGAATACATAAAATAAAAAAACAGTGGAGCTTACCCTAAAACTAACCACTGGATAGGGTTAACCCTAACCCATATATATGTTTGTATTATTATTATTTTTTTAAATATATATAGCACCAAATTGCAAATAATCTATATCTACGGTCACTTTTCACATTGAACATGAGCTCTTTTATTAAATAAACTAAACGCTTTCATTTTAAGTTGAGTTTAGTGTTTTTGACCCTAAGAAACACTGATGCATTAATCAATAACAATAATCCACAGCTCCTCTCTCTGCTCCAGAGGATTTAAAGAATATATCAGCAGTAAACCTAGGGGAAACACTGACATTCAATATTATGTTAGAGACAAGTTAGTTATTACTCACATATCAAAGTCTTTTCATCTGCAAGATGGAAGAATAGCTGGGTGCTGCCTGGAGAGACTGATGAGGAGTCACTGGCTGGCTTCAGCAGCTTTCCACACAAAGCCATCACATGTTCTGTTCCATAGTCTTCACTTCACTGGTGCTCTGTCAAAAGAGTGAACATCACAGCTGTCATGGTAACCCTTTGTTACACAACATACAACCAACATGCGTCAAAAGTGACCCAAATTAGTTTAAATTGTAAATATCTTTGCAATAAATTACCTCCAGGAATTCCTCAATTAACCTGTTTTTGATCAACACCAATTCTAATTTTCATTTTAACTTTCTTACTTTTTTAAATAAAAAATCATGTTTGTATCACTACACTTCTAAGGCACAACATGGGTAAAAAAATATCATTATTTCCTATGTTATTCCTAGTGTTTATTTAAATACATTGTTTTTGATTACCACAAATCATTATTTTAATTCTCCAGTTCTAATTGATTAAAGGTGGGATAGGTAAGTTTCAGAAACCGGCTCGAGATACACTTTTTGTTATATTCCATGGAATGCTCTTAATATCCCGATAGCAATGAATATCTGAAGTGCTTTGACAAAAAATCCATTAAAAAATGTCCTCTGTAGAAGCCGTAATGCTGTAAAAAGTACATCCAATCCGTTTAGCCGGGCCGGCTAAACGGATTGGATGGCCTACCTGCCTGTCAGCCTTCCATCGGGGCACAAACGTATCTCGTGCCCTCA